TGTTTGTCTGCAGCGCGGGGCGTGTGTGTGTGTGTGTGTGTGTGTGTGTGTGTGTGTGTGGATGACAGGGCTAATCTGCGTGTGTCAGTGCAGATTAGCTCTGTTGTTAGCACTTGTATGGAATGTGTGAAACTGCGCCAGTGTCTGCGTCCGTGCAGAGATGAGCGTCGGCATCGGTCGAAAGTGTGTGTCAGTGCGGTGGGTCAGTGGGTGGTCCTGCGTCGTCGTTGGTAATCGATTTGGTGACGGATAAACACAATTACAAGCGTGCTACACACACACACGCATACATGCTTTCATAACTCCACAGGACAGGATTTATGTAATGTTGCAGTGTGATTTATGGATGTGTGTTTATGTGTGTGTGTGTGTGTGTGTGTGTGTCACTGCTGGTGTCGGCCTGGGTCCTTAAGTTTGGGTCGTGTTCTGACATGATCCACAGTGTGAATGTCTGCACACGTATAATGTACGCATCCAAATACATTTTACGACCTGCTGAAATGTAATTTCTTTATAAAGACTTTGATAAAAGCCCCGAGCCCTTTAGGGAGAGAGGAGGGGGGGGCAAATGGGGGGCGGAGTCCAAAACTATTTTTAGCCTGTCAAAACTAACACGATAACCAAAATGAAAATGATTAATTCATCAGATTAAAACAGTTGTTATTTACACACACTGCTGGGAAAATGTTTTAGTTTCCACCAATAATTATTTATTGTTGTCAACATTCCATCTTTTGGACATATATATATATATAAATATAAAGTCAAACTTCTACCTGCTGTTATTTATATTTTTGTCTACAGGACAAAAAAACATAAATTCTGCTGCTGGATGTATTTAGGAATTCATGGGATTCCTGTTGATTTCTTCCACCTTCCCTGTGATTAATCAGATCAAAAGTCTTGTTGGTTTGACAGTTGTCGTTGATTGATTATATTAAATTAAAACTCAACTGTCGTTTCAACTGCACTTTTTAAATGTGTGTATGATAAATGACTCTTCATGTCCCAGGGTTGAAACAGTTTAACTGACGTCCGTGTGTCAGGACGTAAAGACGTTAGAAACGTATCGTAGGAAAAGAAAGAAAAAAAAAACCCCACGACAACACAGTCAAGAACGAACAGATAAGTCTGGAGAGTTGACTTCCTGCTGGGACAGGAAGTGGTCGGACACATTAAACTTCTCCAGGTGCCACATCTGGCAAAGGTTTAGATGATCTGTGGCCCAGATAAAGGAAAAGTCCCTGAAAATGGTTTTCATTCTAAAACTCCTTCAGTTTGAATTCTTTATTTTATGGTTGATTAAAAAGTTTGGGGTTTTTAAATACCAAAAAAAAAAAAAAACAAAACAATCTTTTATTTCTGACCTGAACCATCATAACTTTGACATTTACCCCGATCATCTGCCCTGCCTGTACAAACGTTCAGTTTTTCCGCTGCTAATACCGTCGAAGCATCAGAGCGAAACGATGTCAACACTGTGACGCTGTGATGCCCCGGAGCTGAACCTCATGTGGGTCAAAGTCTGGACTGATTCCAAATATGAACGATGACAACCTCAGCTGTGGGTTTGATGCCAGCATCCAGTGTGTTTGGAGAGTGGCCCAGACCTGGACCACCTGCACTGTTAGTGGGAGGTTGTGGTGGGGCGGTCGGGTGGGGGGGGGCCCATGGGGTCCATCTTGGTGAAAAGTTGATGCGACGCTCCGTCCGAGCAGCTGTTGGTCTGTGTTGAACTTCAAATGCAGTCAGTGATCAGAAAGTTATTGAACCTTCTCATTTTCCTTCCTCCCTCCTTGGACTTCCTCCCCTCTCCCGCTCATTTCCCCGCTCCGACCCACGCCTCCCTTTTGTCTGTCTCCACCTCTGTTTTTCACAGGTGGTTCTGGACCACATGAGAAGGAAATGCAAGTGCCACGGGACGTCGGGCAGCTGCCAGCTGAAGACCTGCTGGCAGGTCACCCCGGAGTTCCGCGTGGTGGGCTCCATCCTCAAAGAGCGCTTCCACATCGCCACGCTTATCAAAGCGCACAACCGGAACACCGGGCAGCTGGACCACTCGCACCACAACAACAACCACAACAACCACCACAGCCACCACAACCATCACAACCACCACCACCACCACCACCACCATCAGATCAACCACCACCACCACCACACGCACCGGCGGCGGCCCAGCGTCAACGAACTGGTCTACTTCGAAAAGTCCCCCGATTTCTGCGAGCGGGACCTGGGCTCGGACTCGGCCGGCACTCAGGGCCGGATCTGCAACAAGACCAGCCCCGGCATGGACAACTGCGAGAGTCTGTGCTGCGGCAGAGGACACAACATCCTGCAGCAGACGCGGAGCGAACGCTGCAACTGCAAGTTTCACTGGTGCTGCTACGTGGTGTGTGAGGAGTGCAGGATAACGGAGTGGGTCAGCGTCTGCAAATGAAGAAAACACACACACACGAAAAAGACCAAAGACACAAAACAAAGAGAGGAGACGTTTTAATTTGAAAGGGCGGCAGGACTGTGGCGTGCGTGCGTGCGTGCGTGCGCCCCATATGTTGTTGCGGTGGACTGTGTGAGGACGGTGTGTGTGTGTGTGTGTGTGTGTGTGTGTGTGTGTGTGTAGCAGCTGAGCCAGCAGAACGTTGTGCACGTGCAGCATACGCCTCACGCTGCCGCCGCTCGGAGAGCTTTCATGTTCCCGCCAAACTCTTCAGACGGAGGACGATAATTAGAACGGACAAATGTTTGAGAACGCCGGCTCTGAAGTCGGCGACACGTGACGACTAACACGCGGCTGCGTGAGGTACAGGTGAACCAGAGGAAGTCAGTGAGAGCGTTGAGTTGCATGTGTAAAAAAATATTAATAATATTAATGCTTTGTTGCACCAGTGAAACAACGTTGTGGTAAAACTTCCTGTTTCCTGTCACGTTTAAAAAAAAAAGGACTGTGTTAAGGACACGGACGTCGCATTCCACCTTAAAAAGCAGGTCGAAAAAACAGGGACCAACGACTTCACTCAGTGTCCGAAACTTTTGTTTCCATATTTATGTTCGCAGTTCGCTGGCGTTTGTTTTTTGGTTTTTTGTTTTTTTTTTCACCATTTTCCAGAAAAGTTTTAAAACTGAAAAAAAGGTCGGTGACTTTGTGACGTAAAAAGAACTCCAATATTTAAAACCCAGTCCGATGTAAATTTAATAACGTAGTTAATGATTTCAGAGGGTCAGAAACAGCTGCTGAATGTGGATGACCTTTGACCCCCTAGTTAAAAACGCCCCCCCCCCAATGAACATTGACTCAGTTGCTTTAGGAACTTATTGACACTTAAACCTTTGCACTTCTTAATCCAAAAATCTCATCAATATTTTTTCTGCCATTTATTTTTATTTAAAATGGACAAAGTCACAGTTAGAAAACTGCCATTTTTTAATTTATTTATTTTTAACAAAATCAATGAGACTTTTGTTGGGAAAAAAATCCTCCAATTAGCTGAGATCATTTTTAAGGATTTTTTTAAATTAGTAAAAAATCCTCCAATTGACTGAGATTATTTTTAAGGATTTTTTTAAATTAGTAAAAAAAATTTTTACCAGACTGAAAACATGTCTCTGTTTTTTTTTTTTACCAGACTGAAAACATGTCTCTGTAGTAACTCCGTGTACTTCATGTATTTCACTGATGTCAGTTACTGTTTTATCATCAAGTCCATTTTCCATTGGCTTCATTGGTTCCCATGTGAGTTCAAAGTACAACTAAAAATACCCACTAGTACCGTTGTTTTTGGGGCATGTATCACTTTCAAAATTATTTTTTAATATATTTAAGAACTTGAGTTTGTCAAATATTTAATGTATGTAAAGAGAGAACTGACTTTTCCTAATTTCCTAAGATTTTAATTCCATTCAGGGAAGAATATTCGTCACGTGTCAAAGAAAGTCCCGACCAAAAAGAAGCCGCGTTTGTGAACCTGTGGTTTTTAAACCTGTGGTTTTTAAACCTGTTGCTGCTCAAATTCCAGCGCTCTATGCTTTTATAAAGACGGAGGTTTTGTCAACGCTCTCACCACTATTTATTGTCGGGATGTCCGATATCATCGAGCCGATATTAGCATATTTATGTAATATCTGTAGAAGTCGTTATTGGTTTTTCCTCCGACGATGAAAACCTGATAACGCAAAGCCTGGGTTTCATCAAATGATGTGTGCCCTAAAAATAGTTTTGGGGATAAACGGCTGTATGTTAAAGCGAGGGTCACTAGATGGCAGCATTGCAACTCATTTAATTACTCGCATACTCATACAGTGGTTTGTACAGAAAAATAAATAAATATCACCAGGCCCATATTGGTATCGGTTGATATCGGAATCAGAAAGTAAGTGTTTGTAAGTGTCAATATCGGCAAACAGTTAATATCGGACATCCCTAATTTATTGTCTTTCCTGTAACGTACACTCAAGGACCAGCACGACTTGTACACACAGATACACATCTATGTACACCGCCATCCTTCAGGGGATTTTGAAATGACGTTTCAGGGTTCAGCACGTGAGCGTGTACACTTCAGTACAGCACAGAGTTATTGACCCGACGGCCGTCCTTGCCCCAGGGTTCGGTTTGTAGTTTGAGTCTCCAAGTGTTGAACAAATGACCGTCATTTAAGGAATAGAATTCTCACCTACGGCACGAACGACGTTGTAAATAAACACGAACAACAGTCAAACGGCGCCAACGTTTGGCAGCTAGTTTAGCTAATTAGCTAATTGTGAAACAGACAGAGGCAGGGGGCGCTATGGTGCAGTATGTGGCCCACTGATTCCAGTGCAGTTGCTACTGTTTCTGTCTGTCTCAACATAGGGCATGCGGTCACGTCGGGTGACGTCGCAGCTCCACTACAAACACCAAAGATGATGTGACGCAACATGTCTGTGCGTCACCTTCAAAAGTCTGGTGAAAAAATGTGTGTCCACTCATCACTTTTACGTTTCTTTGATGTGTAAAAAACAACAACAACAACGACAACGACATTGTTCTTGTTGATTTGATCTCAGCCGACTTGTATGAACCTGTGTAATTTATTTCAAATCCAATACATTATGTCTAAGTGTTAACACGATCTGCGACGTCACTTCCTGTGCAAAAAGAAATCTTTGGATTCTGATAAGTAAATAACTTGCACTTACAGAACTGTGTCCAGGAAAACTCTGGGAAAATCTCTGAGATGCTTTTCTTTTCTCCATGTCATAAATGTATTGTATGTTTGTATATATTTTTTGTTTATGTTTTAATATGGTTATTAACTAAGTTATTTTATTTTTGTGGATAACTTAATATTTTTAAGACAATACAGAAAGACAGTAAATATTAAAAGGGGTTTTTAATGTGACCAATATAACAGTCACTCCTTTGGTCGGAGACTTTTGTTTATGTCCTGAGTTCATTTGTGTCTGTATGTTATCACTGAAGAGCTAAGCTAAGCTAAGCTAATGGTCAAAAAATTAAGATGTAGTTTCATTATTTTCGCAGAAAAAAAACTGTTACATTCAGATTTCTATGCTGCTAATAATGTTCACTCCACTTCCTGTTTACCTGTAAAATCTCCAGGATTTAGGACCTGCCCCCCCCACCCTCAAATAATCAGCCACCAATAACAAATTGGTAACACAGTATTACCGAGTGTGAGTACTACTTCATCTGATACTGCATGAAACCAAAGGGTTGGGTTTTTACAGAGGTCGTCAACTTGGTTTACTGTAACGTTTTCTCTGTTGCGAATCGTCCGCCAACATATCAGAGCAATAATTCACAGACAAGACAACTGCCAAACTCAGATCCAGGGTTGTTGGAACACAATTCCCATAATGCTTTGGGGAATATAAATAACAAGTGTAACGCTGCCAAGAATGCAAACTGTGTTAGAACTTGAGCCCTGTTCCTTTAATCCATATTCATTTAAATGTTGGCTGAATCAGTGACAACTATAATTGGATTAATTTGATGCTAAAAATTGCTATGAAAATGTGATAATTCCTGGGCAGGTTTTCAGCAGATTTATGGACGTCAGGTATTAGAAAATACTGATCTCTACGGTGTGAGGCAGTGGAAATTAAAGAAATGTGCGTGTCACTAACAGTTTGTTATGAGTTTCAAGTTTGGACGAAAGAGGCCAATTTTCAACAAGCGACCACATGCACCCCGTCTTCTGCTCTCCTGGCCTCAAACCTGCGGCTCGTTCTACTGGAGGAGAAAGAGTAAAAATAAAAAAATTAAAAAAAAACGTTCATTTTGGACTGAATGATCTCCAGCTTTTAGCTTTAGCTGTAGGTTAGCAGGAAACGCTAAACATATCAAATATTTATGCACACTTTATTCTGTAATCTCAAGAAACGCTAATGATTTTCTAGGCTTACAGTACAGGAAAGTTATACTGCAGTGGTTCTCAAAGTAGGGGCTGAGCCACCCCCAGGGGTCACAGAGTTATGAGGATGGGGGCCGGGGGTTCCAGATCATACATGTATATCTATATATATATATCGTGAAAACGTACACATCCCTCCTGTGATTTGACCCTGGGCCTGACAAGTGATTGGGCGAATAAGGAACCAATGAGGAGGACAGAAGCCAATATAATTGCTTCAGGGATGCATATATATGATTGGATTTTTTTTTCATACCTGGGTTTAGCAAAGATCCAAAAATATAATAATCGTAGTGTCATAAACATACCCATTATAGGTAGATGTATAAAACTGTATAATAAAATAAGTCTAGTTACTGTGACAACAACCACCAAAGCAGAACAGTAACTGAAATGTTGGGATTTCAAGTCGTCCTTTTTTTAAATGTTCAGTTCCAGCTGCTGCAGTGAAGACCTTTTAGGTTCTTTCCGCACCGGTTGCTCGCGTGCAAAGAGAAATCTGGTTGAGTGTTGTGACTCACTTATATATTCTCTTCCCCGAGGGAAGTTATGAAGTCACCAAGTCAAGTGTAAGAATGCAAGAGATACACTTTCAAAGTAAACACGTGTCGTTCAAACACACTTCTATTTTTGATCAGACACACAGCTAACATCTGGACTGGATGGAAAAGTGTTGTTTTTTGGTTGTTTTTTTCCCGTCCACTCTCGGAGTGCTACTCCTCTGTACGTCACGTCCACTAACTCTCATTATCTGACTCTCAGTGTGTGTAAATGATTGATGTGTGGACACCTGCAGTGACGACAAACATCTATGTGTTTGTTTGCCTGTTGCTTTTTGGCCCGTGATGCATTCAGGGACAGGCTGAGCTGATGAGTAACTCCAGCTCTGCCAGGTCGCTCCATTAGTCAGATTAAATGACAGCCAAATCTGAGTTTAGTTAAAGAAGTACATCAATAAATAAATAAATGAATGAAAATACTCGGCCATCTCTGCTCTGACTTAACCATTTCTCCTCACATGTGAAGAAACCAGCGCGGAGCGTTCACATCTGCGCTCAGATGATCCTCCGTTTGGAGCCTGAGTTGATATTATGACCCATGAGTTCTTATTTAATATTAGATTACTCAAAAGAAACATTAATCTTCACAGGACGAGCCGTTGCCAGGGAGCGTCAGGCCCCGACTTGTGTTTTGGATGGATTTCAGCGGAGCCTGTTGTTCTGATGGAGAAACACAGATATGACCTAAAACAACATCCAGACGCTGAAAAGGTCTCATCGTGTTGTGAACGACCAACTCTGGGTCACGTTTAAGAACCTTTGAGCCGGTCGAGCTGGTCAATAACAAGTTGGTTTAGTATAAGTTACTAAAACCATTTTAACAGACAGTTAAATAGACAAAATACAAAGACATATATTTAAAAGGCCTGTTGAAAACAAGGACCTCATGTTGTTTTGTTTTGTTTTTTTGTTTTTTTTAATGATCCCACAGATGGAGGGAGTCTCTAAGAGAACAGTACCGGGTTCCACCGTCTCAGAGTTCATTTGCCTCTGGTTCTTAAAAATAAAACCTCCCTGGGACCAATAACAGCCTCTGACCTTTTGACCCCAGACTGTAGGGAGAGAGTTCTGACATGACCCAAAATGAAACATATTACAAGTCATTAAATATTAACTTTACTGGGTTTAATTAGTCCGACAGATGTGTCATTGTTTGTTCCAGAAAACTGAACGTCACATGTCAACGATTCATCATTTTTCACTTTCCAACGTTTGGTAATGAATAATTTAATAGCTCGATCATTTTCAGTGTAAACAAGTCAAGTTTGAACAACGTGAGAGCACATTGGCAGAAGAGCTCGACTGAAACCAAAGTCAGAGACTTGATGAACACAGAAACGTCCAGCTGATCATTTGTGGACCTTATGTTGAGACACCTGCTGTCTGAGACTTGACGTGGTATTGTCCCTCCAAGTCTAGCTTGGACTTGAGTACAAAGACTTGGGACTTGACTTGGA